ATATATCGCGATACATATTGATATTGAATTATTGTCCAGACCTAGTACTAATATGCACCCTTAAAGCCCAAAGCATACTTTGTTTTTTACGCATCTGCAAGGGTCCGCGTACAGTGTATGTGACGCAAAGTTAGGCCCAAGTATACGTTTTCTTTTTTTGCGCGTACACTAGCGTACACGCACAGCCTTTCAAAGTATAGTCCATTTCAGGTGTATGCAAATGCAGGCGGTTGACTCGCGTGCTCGAGAAAGCTTCGTCTTTGTCCAGCATCTGCTCTATTTTTCTCCAGAAGTTATGACTGATAAAAATGTCTGTTGTTGTTGCAGTCTCTGCTATTTTGTTGTTGTTGTTCCATCTCTTAGTTTCGCTTTCTACTGAGAAACAGCAGCCCGGACCAGTGTTGCCACCTTGTGGAACAACTGATAAGAGCAGAACCAAGTCAATGCACATGTGCGACCTATGCATACAAAGTATGCGTGGTTACAAAAAATGGGTGGTGCATATACATGTGTACTATTCTGCTGATTAAATTTTCGTCACGCGCACTGTACGCGGACCCTCACGTATGCCTAAAAAACTAATTAACCATTTGTGTGAGAGGGTTATGAGATCGTACAAAGTAATTTTTATTAGTCATAACTTACGGAGAAATATAGAGCAGATGCTGGACAAAGATTCCTAAGCTTTCTAGAGCGCATGTGTCGACCACCTGCGTTCGAGCATGCTATCAAATGAAGTATACTATTTAAAGGCTACGCATTCAACTGTACGCATACGCTACCCGCACAAAAATGAAGAATACTTTGTGCTTCGGGGTTAAGAAGGTGTAAAGGTGTCCCTTTGAGGCTACTGCCCCGGTGACTAGCTGTTGTACCCCTAAAGGTACAAATTTGTGGACTTTTTTTTTTTTTAAATATGTGTGGTTATTGCTGAATGTCATTGTATATATGTGAGAAAAGCTCAAAAGCCTATACTTTTTTCGTAATCAGTTCCTTGGAGACTCTGAACTCATTCTATTTGTGGCTTTTTGTCCATTCCTCTGTTACAAAGCTTTTTTCTTATCTGCAGCATATATGCGAGTGTTGACAAAGTAAATGTTTAGCAGAGATACAGTACAAGGTGTCAAATGCAGTCTCTTTAGTCTGGCAGAATCATTGAGGATCATCTCCTGTTCAAGAGTGTGTAACTTCTGTTCCTAAAACCATTTCATGGGGTTTTTGAATTGACTGGCCAAATCAATTTTCATTCAGCTCTTTAATGGCATTATGTTTTCTTTCACATTTCTGTTTACTTGGGTTAGACTGGATCAGATAGAGTTTCCTACTGTTGAAAAATGCTGTCCGTATAACTTTGTTACGTCTGCTGTCTGTCACTTTGGAGTTTGCTGGATGTGTATCTGTATGTAACAAACAACAATACTGTGCGAATTTGATGAGTTTCAGTACATCTAACCCTTGTTTGTTTTTCCACACAGGCACTTTGAAGGATCCATCAAGGGTACGTTTCTTTCTCTTATTGCTTGAGTTTATTTTTTACTTCATGTTTTCTGTCCTTCTACAATAAAGCAATTGTAGTATCCTCAGTATTTGGGAATATAGGGGCTTTTCTTCATGGTTCTTTGTGCGGAGAGGAGAAGTCTCAGCCAGTGTATCATTTGCTGCTTAACTCCCCTGATATTTTAAGCACATTTACGAACATTTCTGATATCAGCCGTTTGGCCTTTGTCACCAGTGGGGTGGTTGAGAATAGTTGGCAGTAAGGAATGAGCTCTTCCATTGATATAAAGTTTACAACTAGTCCGAGTCCCAACTAGGTACAATGAGAAATTTCAGCAATATAGACACTTTATTAAGTACTGACCATAGACTGTATAAAAACATGGACGCAGTGTCCGTGACGTCACCCGTAGTTTTCTGAAGAGCGTTTTTGAAGCTCAAAGTGGGCGGAGCTGGCCGTCACCATCTTGGCAGCGCGTCACTCCCGGATAATCGAAAATGGGCAAAAAGGTGAGAGC